AAATTAACATCGGTGAAATACAACAAAGAAAACATACTGTTTTGTTGCAATTTGAATTTTTAGCCGCATTTCGCTCTTATTTATTCAACAGATACACATCGAGATTCAATTCAAGATAACGCTAGCTTTCGTAACGTGTATATTATAACACCTAGCTGAAACGGCCGCTAAGCAGACCGATGTAGCTAGTCAGAGTAGATGCTAGATTGCAACTAGTGTTAAAACGGGTGTTGCAGCTAGAGATATCACGTTTCATTTTAAATTTTCTACGCTCTTGATCTGTTATGTGTTACGGCCCGATACAACGGGCGCTACAGCGGCCGTTGTAGCTAGCTTATGTTTTATTTTGAAACTACTAATAAAAGTAGCTAGCTGAAACGGGTATGGAAACTAGCGTAGCTAGTTGCAGCGGCCGCTAACCCGCTTAACCCGTATACTATACGGAGAAGGTAGTGAATTTGCATTCGCGTGATGAGAAATAGTCTTTTTATTGATTTTTATTGCGTAACAGATGGAGTTGGGGTTAACATTTTCATGGCTTTGTTGAAAATTCATCACAAATTAACATGGAAATGTATTGATGATATGCGGCGTCTGAATAAATTAGTAAACATGGATTATCCAGTTAAATCTGGCTACAAAGTACAAAAGCAACTAAAAAACCTTGTACCAGTGACATCTACATATGAAACCCACTATATTTGTGAGCCCTGTTTTTGTATTATTTTATCATCGGGGTGTGTTGATTGCAACATCACAATGAATACCGTAGATCAAATGAAAATATTATTTTCTCGCCCCAATTTCTTTACCAGTTTACATTCCGGTGTATCAAATAATCCAGGTACTTTGTAAATCGAATATAGAACTGCTATGAATTCATAGCAGTTCTATATTCGATTTACAAATACTTATTTGCAACTGCTCTACCAACAAATTTCATAATCCAGGTACTGTTTTTAGTAAATAATCTACGGATCATTTAGCTTGTTTAGACTACTTTCTTTCTAAGGAGAACTCAGAGATATTAGGGATGGTACGCTGCGGATGAAAGTACGAGAAGAGACGAAGGATGATGATATTGACGTTGTTTTAACAACTCAGTTACATTGCGACGGTTCGTAGCTGATAATTTTGTTTGAGGATGTGCACAGACACCCTCTGTTCCATTTTCTATTTCCTTTCATGATGTGAATGTCTCCCGATGTTTGTTACAAGAGATATTGCGGGTTGTCTGTACTCAATTACTTGAACTTGAAGCAGGAGTATATGTATACGTCAAAGATGTTAATAATGAACTTAAGATTTCAACATATAACATCAATACTGTAACAGATAAAGTGATGAAAAACAAATGCATGAACATGATTCAACATAATGGACAGTACGCATGTGCATACTGTATGAATCCGGGAGTCACATTCAAATCACGGAAGCATGGGCATACAAAATGTTTTCCGAGAAGAGAAGATAGAAGTTTCTGTCTGCGGTCGGTCAGCACGTACAATTATGCGCTGAAAAAAATCAATAAAGGTATCATGTAATACTCAGCCCCCCACAAAAATATACTTTGGCAACTACTTTTCAATTGTAGGTGCAAAAACTTATCAAGGACATTATGGGCCAACTTTTTTGCAAAGTCTTCGTTTTCATCATTTTCCCAACTCATTTATTGTGGAATCAATGCATACAATTTACTTAGGTATCTTTACTTTAATATAGGCATACGCTGATAAGCTGATAAAATAAAAACTTTATGACTTTCCACTACATTTTACTGTCATTTCATTTTGGCGGTGTAACCAAGTACTGCATATCATTATGGACCAGTGCATCGTATTCGGGAGAAGATTGGTCATTTTCTACAAAAAAAAAGTGAATTTGCTACCGCATTCAATAAAATTTATTCAAAATTCAACATCTGTGTATAAACAGTGTAGCCCATTAACTGACGGTACGACTAATCCGTATAATTTTACTGATAATATATGCGCTTACATATATTTTTAATACTAGGAATTAAGCACAAAGCAAGCGAACTTCGTACATTCCTATTAGTTTATTTTCCCATTCTCGAAACATTTTTGAATGATGTATATTTTGATCATTTTTTACTATTAGTGAATGCCATATACGTTTTATCCGATGTTCAGCATTTAACACATATATTGATTAAAGAAATGCAGCAATTATTATTGAGTTTCGTAGAAAATTTTCCTTTACTGTACGGAGAAAACCATGTCAAGCCTGTTACTGAAGATTTAGCTTATTTAGCCCAACAGTGTGACATGTTTGGGCCTATTGTAAATTATGATGCGTTTGGTTTTGAGGCCATCAATAGATTTTTGTCATGATATGATAAATAATAACAGAAATATAGACAAAGAGATCGCAAATGCTTGGTTGTTTTATCCACAAGCAGTTACAGCACATACGATCTATTCTTACGAATCAACTGAAATAGCAGCATTCAACGAAAACCTACTGCATGGGTATGCAAACTATCGAAACAACTAAAATAGAGAGTATAGAATTGTTCATTGAGAAATTCTTTCCTTTGATAATAGGCATTCCAGACCAATATTTCATGCACGTTTTAATATGTTCGGTGTGGTGTACGGTTCCATATATAAAGTTACAACATTAAATGATGCATGTGTTAATCAAGTGTTAGCATTTGATGGCAAGGCTGAATATGTGAAATACTGTTATTTTCATGAATCATTAATAAGAAGTGCATCAACAGCAAAAAAAGAAACAATTTAGAGATACTGTTGTACAATTATTTCACAACAACATTAAACAAGTTTATTTTATTAATCTCGTATTTTTATCAAACTATGTGTGGTACATTCTTGCAACACCGATAAAAATACAGGCACCACCAGTTCATTATCAGAGTTTAAAAAGTGTAGTTACGTTCGGTGATTTTGAAGGTGAACCAGAAATTATTCCACTTAACAATGTTATAGAAAGATTGGCAGTGTTCGAAAAAACTGATAAAAAACTATTTGTACGATTGCCATGTTTTACTAGTTATTCTTAATATCCATAATACATATTAAAAAATATTAAATAAATTTTCAACTTAAAAATGTTAATTCATAATCCCAAAAAATCAAAAGGGTTTCTAAGAAGTTAAAAGTACAGGCTAAATGCGTTATAATAGGACACAGAAAGTACTTCCTAACCACCCTAAAACTGCTCAAGTAATTACTGAACAAACCTCTTCGCGGGTACCACATATGAAATGTACATTTATAAGCGCCTAACACTTCTGGTCTAACTACAACACAATAATCTATAAAAATACAGCGATGTGCACACAGATTTACCATTCTAATTCCTTTTTGTGTTACAAAAGGTACAACATTCTCCAGCAGGATTTTTAACTTCCTAACCTCTAAATTTTTCATAGGGTCAGTTGTTTAGTGCAAAGAAAGTGAATTTTTACGTTACCGGTTCAAATCCTACACGGATCTTTTTGATTTTTTTCTCAAAAATTTTTTCCACAGAAATCGGAAGGACCCATTTGAGAGAAATACGGCGTAGCACTACATCGACCATGGGCTACACGATTCCGCAAAAATTTCTCTGACAACCCCCTTGGAAAAAGGCGCCAAATTTTGATATGAAAACGACGAAAGCTGCTAAGAAATCGTTATTACAGGCCACAGCTCTGACAGATCTCTAGAAAATCCTTCTGAGTACAAGATACTGTTGTAATCATATCGTTAACTATGCCTAAAAGTTTCTCTTGCGGCACCGTCTCTTAAAAGATTCGCAATTCTTTGATTTTGTTGCGACTAGGTATTTTCTTAATCTTATGGACAATTCTGATAAAAACAGTCCAAAATTCTAAGAAAACATGTATTCGAGAAACAGTAATTTTTGTACATCCTCTTCATAAAGCTAAATTCTAAAAGAAAAAATTCCTCTTGTTGATTTTTTATCTCACTGTGCCTCACTCTTTTATCAGCAATCTGTTTTTCTCTCACCACCTAGTTTTCGCTTACTCAGTTCAGTCCTTGCTTGTTGAAAAAAAGCAAGCATCAGTTTTATTATGCGAACCAGACACTTGTCCAAATCTTTTAGACAACATAGTACATTCAGCTGGTAACACGATCTTTATTAAAAACAAACAAGAAAAGAAAAAATATAAAAAAGCAGCTCATGTTGCAACACTGCCTTCATTTCAGCATGGAAAATATTTCTAATATGCTGATATGGGTAAAAATTGTGCGTAACAAAAAAAACAAAAAAAATATTGCTGTTATGCTATTTGAAACAAAATATCAGCTACTTTGGTGTCAACACACTACAAAGATTGTTAAAGTTTTATGTAAGATTTGTTTATTTATTATAATTAATGTAAAGAAAAATTTACAGATCAAGCAGAAATGTAATTTAACAGTAGGTACAGCAAAAATTCTTGTGAAAAATATATCCGGTGTTCACATATATACAGGCAATTACTTTTTCCTATTAGTTATGTTTACAATGGCGTGTTTTCATCATGTCTAAACGTTGGATTTATTGATCCGACTGCTACTTGTTGATTCGTATTAGAAGCTGTTGTATTAGCTGATACCGTTGGTACTTGTCGAATTGTTAAAATATTATAGTTACATAGAGGACAACAACGATGGTCTAATAGCCATGGATCAACGCATAATGGATGAAATATATGACCACAATCTAGATTTGAAGAAAAATGTTGAACGTCACTACATACATTTCGCTGTATCTGCAGGTTTACATATATTTTTATAAGCGCCACTCCTCTTCTTTTTTATAACATCATCATAGAAATTAGAGCAATGTCAGAAGTTCATTAATGGAAAACAAAAGTGTCATATTTTGGCTTAAAAATATAAATTTCTAAAGTTATTTTTAAAAAATCATGGTTTTTACCGTAAGTGTATAACATCCTACTGAAAAATACGTGTTATCGAGTGGAAATTTTTCCTACAAGCTCCAGTGTGGTGATCTCGGAATGCAAAGTTTTTTCTCGAAAAAATACCCATTTCCGTTCGATATATAGAAAAAATTTCAAAAGTTCCACAAAATGTAACGCCGTTCAAAACTGAAAATCGTACAGTTAAGAAAGAATGCAATACTTTCAATGAAAAAGTTTGCATTCTGAGGAAAAAGTTCAAACACTCTGTGATAAAGCCTTCAGCTCGATCAGATTTATTTTTCGGTAGGATATGATACACAGAGATTGGACCGAGCAGAGAATTGAACTGGACATGATGTACCTTACGTGTGTTTTTTCGGAGAACTCTAAAATGATTATAACTCGGCAGAATAAATAGCGTTGGGAAGACTTTGAAAAAATAGCGTACGAGAGAGGAAAAAACATATACAGCGGAAATTTTTAATTTTTTTCATTCAAAACAAAAACTTTTGAAAAATGTACAGGTTTTTAAGAGATGGTTCTGTAAGGCTAGGAGTGCTATAGAATTGTAGAGAACACTTGACTCTACCGATACTATGTTTAACACGTTCTTTGAAAGTTAAATCAAAAATGAGAGTAGGACACAGTGGACACTACGCAGAATGCGAATATGATTTTTTTCAACACTATGTATTTCTTCTCGTATTTCTCAAAAGCAGAGCCCTGTTACCTGGACTTCTTCGTTACCAGTTATTATAACATCAAAATCACATAAATTATTAATTTATAATTTACATTACTATTACCATGAACCGACTGAATCAGATCAAGGACAAAACCTTATCAGCGAATTTCTTTTCGAAAACTCATATATATGCTCATACTCTAATAAAATTCCTATAAGTTTCCTGACAGGATCCGAAACATATCCCACTAACATCCTACAAGGCTTTCGCTTTAACTTCTTAGAATCCTACAAAATTCTATAGAATCCTAATGAAACCAGGTACACATGAAAATCATGGAATTTTCTAAGATTCTGTTAGGATTTTAAACAAACTTAAGCCAAATCTTAGTAGGGTCCTGCTGGGAAGTTATAAGGTGGAATCTGTAAGATCCTGGTAGGAAATAGACAAGAAATTCTAGGATTCTGTGTAGAGATAACTGGATGCAACTTGACGTGGTAATGATTTTTGAGTATGATATAGCTTTTAGTAAAAATGTGTTTAGGACGGATCCAAAAGTTTGTGATTGAAGTTCGCTTTCACTGTCTCTTACATGTCTGCCTGAATACCCAAGATGTATGCGGCTATGAGGATAGAAGAGCTTACTCAATTCTGTATTTAGATCCTGCGATATTACCTAATTTTCTCACATTATCATCTTTTTTCATATCGTTCAAACAAATAGAGCATGTTTCATCTTCACCATCAACATTATCAAGCTTCACCAAAGATAGATTATCTAAAATTTTTCTTGCATTTGCTTTCAATTGTTCATCTAGACGTTGTTCTTCTCTTGATTTTCGACGATACGAGCAGTAAAAGTGCATACTTATTGAAAAACTTATACAGAGTAGAAAACAAACAATTGCACCCATAAATATCATACCAAAACGTTGTGTAAAAATATCACTCTTATTGACACATTCGATAGTTACGTTTAGTTTTGTAATATTCCATTTTGAAGTCAAAACAGTTAGTTGATTAAATCGACTTAAATCGCTATATGCAACAAACATATTGATATTAGCCAAGGGAAAGGAAAAGGAACGATTTTTATTGATATCAGATATGATCATCGCTAGAAAGAAAAATCCATAGTCAGATTCATCCTGTAACATACGTACATGTGAACTGAAATATCTGACGAGTTTCATATGTTAAAAAAGTATTACACTATGTTCTATCATAGCTACATCGTTAGGAGACTACGGAGATGATCTCGAGATAAGTTATCTGATGTCGAATTTAAAATTTCTTTCATGAAGAACTCGTTTTTATAAATAGTTTCCATATTAAGTTCTACTTATGAGTTACAGATTCAAAAAAAACTTGTATAGTTCTAGTAAATTAATACTGTGCACGAAATTCAAACATAAGGTTTTTTTCAGTTTGTACTACAAATGGCTATAGAATATTTGATTTTTAGTCTTACACTTCTTTAGAAATATTTGACTGGAGCAAAAATATTAATGAATACTTTAAACACCTTTCCAACGCGCAAGTATTTTCAATTTTTCATTATTTGAACATCCATCGGTCCAGTTTTGTACTAGTGCAATCCATGGTTGTTTATCAAGTGTTGGATTTGGCCACTCGGGTGTACACAAATTCGAAAAACTATATACTGGTCCATGAAGTAATTTTAATCGATTTGACCATAACAGAGTACCTTTCAGAGTTATACGCTTATAAATTGGATCAAAATACTCCATGTATAAGTTTACTACCGATACAGAAAATGTCGATTGAAACGTTAATAACAAATACAAAATCATTGAAATAACAGAGCGTAATTTCATATTTTAATACAGACTTCGTTACTTAGATTAAGGTAAATCTCGAAGGACCATATTATTTAACAAAAACAACGTAATTGTTTGAATAAAAAAAAATGATGAAAAATGTTGTTTTTTGCTTATAAAAAGCATTTTCAGAATTATTTTTCTAGCGTATTTCTTATCTTTGATGTAAATACTGTTTCCTGCTGCAAATATAAAATAATCTCATGTTCAATCATAAGCATTAAAACGAGAGGAAAATGACAATAAGTAAATAGTGTCAAACCAGAAAATAAGAGAAAACCTGCTCATAAAGGTTGAAGATGGATAAGAAGTATGATAGAAAAAATATATATTTAACATGTCGACTGTTCTATGTCGTTCATGAATTATTTTCCAGTGAACAGATAATGTGGACAAATAGAATCGAGAAACAAAACGTTTATGCCGGATTCAGAAGATTAGAATGAGTTCATATGATAAGGAGAGAGATTTATATTTTCTGAATAACTTTTCTCAACATAGAGATCTGTAGTTGTCACTGTTCAACAGAGTCAACCGGTGGACGTCCTTTTGTAGGTGAAACAAATTTTGAAATTCTTTTTGCACGTAGGATCTTGAGAAGAGCTTTAGAAAATCATTCTGTACCTTTTCAAAATCGAGATGTTGATTTTTAGTGGTTCAAATTCGAGTTTAGATTTTCAATGCTGTTTACACCTAACGTGAAAAAAATTCAAAACTTACTCTAAATACATCAGTCCAAGTTAAAAACTTCAGAATGCACGATATTTATAATGTTCTATATTCTGTTGCTATGAAATCTACAAAAGAACATTTATTCAACTTCACTGATTTTTGAGAAGGATTTCGTGAAAACCTTTCAATAAATCACGGTTACACCATTTTACAGATCAGTAGCTTCTATCGAATAACATAAACTGCACTCCTATCAGTCTTCATTTAAAAGTTATTCAATGTAAAGATACTGTTCAATGTTACACTAGTAATGTGCATCAAAATTCTTTACATAACTGTCCTGATAAAGCACTAGAAGGTATCGTAAGTGAACCTTTTGTATAGTATTCATATGAGTTACCATCAGATAGCAAGTTATTACTCTCATTACTATACATCAAGATAAATAAGAATAACGTGAAAAGTCTTATCACTTTCTTACGGTTCTTACAAATCTCTTATAAGATTTGTCTAAGACTCTTACGAAATTCGTGGCACTTTCGAGCATTTTCCTATATAAGATTATTATAAGATTCGGATAAGATTTCCATAAGAATTTCCAAAAACGTTTTGCCTAGGGCACATGTCGAGAAATTCGAACAAGAAAAAGAAAATAAAAGTCCGGATTTCTGTTATCAACTTTTTATGATAAACCATGAATGATTAAGCCAGTATTTGCTCTCCTCATATATTGAATCAAAATGAGCCGATATTCAAAAGTTATACATTGCAGATGGGAGTTCATGATATTCGACTTGAAAACTTTCATACTCAAGATACGATTCAGCAACAATTGATGTATATGTCTCCCACATTATGACCACAATGCCATTTCATTACGTTCGCAATGCTGAGTTACATTGTCATCGTGCACGGCTTCACTCGTACGGAGTGTAACTAGAGCCCTGTGGGATCGGGATTAAGCTGCTGAACGGGTATGAATTTGTATTCGACGAAAAGAGAGAAAGATAGGAAAGAAATATTATCATCAGTGGTCATTTTTGGCAGCTATTATTGACAGGTTACTTCTAACTATGTTTAGTAGGACTTAGATTAGCACGTAACATATTCCAACAACTGTTGTAATATTCAAGTATTAGTTTTTCAGAGAAAAATCTTAAAGAATTTCTTTTTATATAGGAGAGTTTCTTATATCGAAAACTATTGATGTTCTTCTCCCAGATTCGATCTTCCAACCATCATACTATGTATTTCTCCAACTTTGCATTTGCCTTCTGCACTAAATAGTGCAAAAGGAAGATACAAGTTATGATTATACATTCGTATGACGGCTGTACACTTATGTATATATTTAAATAGTCTTCACACGTGATCACTCACATGTTACTAGCTATGCT